TTTACAAAGAAAATTAAAATTATAAAGTAAAAAGATAAAAAGAAAGTTACCAGCCGGGTACCCAGACCCAAAATTTCTGTGCAGGTCCTCTGCAGTTTCATCTAGCACCCAATCTCGCAAAGCTCTATCCCTTGTTACCTGAGAGAAGTGATGTCCAGCAAATACTTCAATCAATGTAGCAGAATTGGGAACATGACCTAATACTGACGGTTAAACATACTCATACTTCATGGGCTACATAGCACAAAAAATTTGTTCTTTAATCACAAGACATATTTACCTTTGCAACAATGCTTGCACCACTCACAACTGGATAAAGACTGTCAGCTTTCTTTGAAACCACAAACATGATATTAGGGAATCTTTCGGAAAGTTTTAGTCTATACTTCTCAGCATCACCAACAGTGTCCAAATAAACCTGTACAGAGTAAGAATACTAGTATAATATGGGTATTAAAGAACCACAGGCACGGGCAAAAGCATGTTTATGTGGAGACATTCTGAATCTTATATGAACCTTTTACGATACCATACATACCCACATCCAAATTCATTAAATTTAAAAACTTTTTTTGAATTAGCCACATATTTAAATGCTACTTAGTAGCCCTGATCCGGACTGATGTCCAAATGGGATTTCAATGAAGACAATTTGAAAATAGTTAGTATATTGCACAAATCTTATATAGTGATGGGTTCTATCATGACCCTTTTGAAGTCATTCCTATTGGTTTTGAGGGTAAATGTAAGATTTCCTCTCTAGCGTGCTTAGGGACTAGTCAAAATTAGAGTCTTGAAATACTTCTTAATGGTGTTAAACATTTAAATAAATGATGTCACAGCTTTGGAAAGCACATTCCATCTCTACAATGCAAGATAGTATTAAGATATTCAACAGGAAGGCCAAATTTGATGTTAAAGTTTTTCCTTGTCCACAAGCCTTTACGCCTAAACCAGCCTCATTTCATATTCCATAAAAAACTGAGAATCTTACATAATGTTTATCATTTTAGAGCATCATTTGGAAGAACTGTGATATTCCTAAAGTGAAAGCACCCATAATACAACCCAAAATTTTCCATTGATAGTCACTTTATTTGTAAATTATATATATTGGCTCTCTGCATCAGTAAAGGTATATACTCTCCAGCATGATTGTTGAACAGCAAATCAAAGGACTAAGAGCAAACATGCTTTTCATTTTCTCCACACTAAGTTAGAAACTGAACAATATATCTAAACAAAAATGATAAAATACCTACAAAACGAAGCGAATAATAAGAAATGGAAAATTTAAAAAATTAAACATGTCAAGAGATTAGATGGGTTCAATAAAACTATCAGTGTCGCCCTTCCATAGGTCAAATAAACTATTAGGTATGAGATGATGCTTTTCAAGATATTTTACCTCAGTTAGAAGAACACCTATGCTCAAGACCTTGTTGATGAGGCCGATGGCAGAATCGTGTGATATTTCATTGAGATTTATCTTGCTTCTGCAGATAATGAAAAACATGATGTCATTAAGTTTGTACAATGGATACTTGTTAAGTACTTAGTCTCGGTAGTTACTTCTTAAGCATTTTGGCTGACAGCTCTCTTGGGTCTATAACATCAACAGCCCATCCAATTGATTCATCGGCCTTCAAATTCTCAAATAATTCTTCCCTCTTCTCTTCTTTTAGAGTTTTTGAATCTGTATCAAGATGTGGACAGTTTAGCTGGTGGAAACAAATACAGATGTCAGTAAGCAGAAAATTGCAAGCCCAAGCTACCCGTGTCTACGGTATAAGCCGAATGCTAAAGTCCTTTTTGAAAGTTTAAGAAGCTCCTAATAGTATGAACGTATAACATCCACTTGATATTTACGCCAAAAAAAATTTTTGTATTACATATAACCTAAGCCATCCTTGTTATGAAGAAGCTCCTAACAGTATGAACGTATAACATCCACTTGATATTTACGCAAAAGAAATTTTTGTATTACATATGTAAGCTTTGTTTCTCTCGCGGATATAAATATAAGATGTGGATTCCAACTAAAACTATTCGAGCAAATGAGAAGTCACCAAGAATGAGAACAAATAAAAAATAAAAATATATTGTTTTCAAGTTTAAGCAGAACTCGGATCTTGGATTATTTCAGTTGGGACGAAGGAAGAAGATTTATAGGAATAAGATAAGCAATCCAAAATAGTTTGCTATATCAGCATTATACCAAAATTATTCCGTGAGTATTTCATTAACTAAACATGCTTCCTAGCTGTAAAGCATGCATGATCCGCCAGTGGACAATGAGAATCCTTGCATTCCCACCAGTTTCATCCAGAAAAGAACTTATACCAAGGTACAAAAGCTATTTTGTTGCTCTAAGGTACTGCTATAGCTATTGCCTCAAAAAGGAATTCACAGGGATAGTGAAAATAAGTCTCCGAGAAAAAAGCACCTGTTTTATGCCCATTCACATACCCCATACATGAATTTAGTGTTTTTTTCATTAGTATTGAACAGTATATCTCCACACAATAAACGAGCATGCAAACTGTTGATTTATATTCTATATAGCCGTTGTAGGTTTTCTTATTGCATCAGTATGAATCAAGGAGCATAGTTCAACAATTTAAACGGGCGAAAAACCGGTTCTTTAATTCTTACATTTGTTTTTCCTTTTAAAAGAGCTTTTCAATGGAAAGAGGATACTCCAGACCTAAAACATAAAATTGGCTACCTTCTTCCACTTAAAATGCGAATGAAAGTGCCTGGCTGTCAAAATTAGCAGCAAAGAAGTGATACTTGCTGGAAAAAACGCCTAGTATTAGTAAGCTAACACTCCATAGTAAATTCAGAAACAGACGACAACCCCCAGCTTCAGAAAGGGGAAATAAAACACAGTAAGCTATAAAACCTGCGAAATTCAATGTGGATAATGCTTTCTGGTAGGAGAGCGGGCAGTAGAGACAGCCATACACCATGGGTCCTGGCAGTAATAAAAGAGAGGGATTTTGTTTTATTTTATTTTTATTTTCATTTTCAGTGAAAAGCGAGAGATGGATGAGGAAGGAAATGGAGCGAGCGTATGTACCTAAAACAGGGCCGCGCCCAGCTTCATCGATGCCCATTATGCAATGCTTCGACGCCCATTTCGGTAGCGGCGGCGCCTCCGATCCCATTTTTGGAGCACTGTGTTTCTCCACTTGGGTTTCCCGCCACACCCACACAGCCTTTCACATCGCGCCCTTATAAAGAGTATCTCCAGTATACCAATGTCCATTTTGTGTTTACCGCAAAAAATTGTGTTTCCAATAATTAATATTAATCGTCGTATTATTATTTGTGAGTGTAAATCGTAATTGGTTGTGAAAGAGTGAAAAATTGAATAAATAATATAAAATATATAATAAAGGTGGTTTATTATGACTTTTAGAAAATCTTCTAGACATTATTAATGCAACATGGGATTATTTGTAGAGATGTCAAAACGGGCTGGCGGGGTGGGCTAGCACGCAGCCCGCCAAAACCCGCCATTTGGCGGGGCGGGGCGGGCCTGCCCGACATCCTGAGTTCACAAATAATACCCGTTTCTTTCTCTGTTGCTATTTTTTGTTTATTTGTTCCATTTGTTTTGTACTTTTGTTATTGTTGGGAAAAATTCGCTGAAATTTCCATAAGTCGGATCTATAAAAGTGAAATAAAATAAAAATTGGACACACCAAATTGATAACGGAGTTCGGCCAATAATGCCTACGTCTCCAGACTACTGCAGATATTTTATTAGGAGAAAAAAAAACACTCGTGTTTACAAAACACTCGCAAACTCACTCACAACTCACAACACAAATACACACAGAAGCTAAAACTTTTGTTCCGCGTTCCCTCTCTTTTTCTCTCTTTCTCTCTTGTGTTTCTGTATTTTGTTGTGTGATTTCTGCATCAGAATCCCCCTCAATTTATAGAGGGGGAATAGCACACTCTCTTTGAACATCCGTGTGCTGTGCTGCTTCCTTTTTTCAACAATCAGCTGCTACCCCTTTTTTTTTATTTATTTGGCTGCTGTCAAATGGAGTGGGCAGCAGCCTTTGTTGACTCAACAATCTCCCACTTGAGGACTGATTTCAATCTATCCTCACACCTCAATTACTGCAGTAGTCTTCTCTGGTCTGTTACTCTAGCAGGCCAACTGAAGTTGAGCACAACTTCAGCTTGTCAATGGTCACCACCTTCGTTAGCATATCTGCTGGGTTCTTGCTTCCTACAATCTTTTTCAAAGTTAACACTTCATCCTCAAGCAGA